TTTTTTCCTACCTCGCTGCCCTCCACTTTCCCATTCTGGAGCGCTAGCTTTCGCCCCCCCCCTTGGCCTCAAGTAATTCCATGGTAGAGCACCAGTGTTGCAATGTGCATCTCTGCAGGGGCTACTCTCACAGTTACATAAACCAATTTGAGTGTCTTCAGGAATCGCGCCTATCTTGCTTGGAAGGAGAATCACGCGAGGAGAGTGTGGGCAAGCGTCAGTGTTGTTGTGATTGCCGTATTATCACGGTGTCATCGCCTCATTCAGCAGGAAGGGAAGTTTGTGGAGTTTGATTTGGATGCAGACATCATGAGGTTGATTCTTGCACAGTCAGATACCGAGATTCATGCCACATGGATCAAATCATCGACAACCCTGAACACACCAAATCAAGGAATGGACGCAAGCTGCAAGAGCTGCAGGAGTTTGGAGCCTTTTTTCTTGTGCGATCAATTTTGGAACTGTACATAACTGTAATTACAATAATACATATGAGTTCGAGTTTCTTTGAACTGGATGTGGATTGCATTTTTGCAGGACTCATTGGCTGTGCGTATTGAGGCAAAAAGCTGGTGTTCTCACCGAAAGCCTGATGAGAACACGTCTTCCTGGATCCTCCCAGGTGAGATTTGACCGTAGAAAGGGAAACAACTCTGTTCGAGTCTCAGTTCGGAAATAACGGCATGTGGCAGTTCTTGGATGTTCAACACGTTGCGTAGCAAAGGTGCGGATCATGGGGCAAGACCCTGAAAACGTTGCCGCTGCGCAGAGGCAACGGAAAACTTATTCGCTCAAGCAACACACTGGGGCAAAGGGATGCAAAGGGGCCAGAGTCGGGCTGACTGATGTGTGGAGCAGCAAGTGTCACAGGCAAACACTTTGTAGGCTGCTTCAGTACTCCAAAAAGATTCTTCGTTTTCCGCGGCAGCATCTGGGGTTTCGAGCCAAGATCGAGGAGGGTGCACTGTTATTATTGTGTGCAAGCTGTGGCCATGTTGGCCATCTGAGATCTTTTGTGCCTCTCACTGCAGCAAGGTATGTTCTCGGCAAGCAACTGTCCAATGTCCACGAACTGGCAGAGAAGGCTACTTTACTTGGAGAAGCTGATGCAGCTTTTGTCTCTTTCAGATTTGCGTGATTGACAACTCCCTTGCAGCTTTATGGTTTCCAGCTTTCGATATGGATAGACAGTTGAAACACTCTTCTGGTAGCACTTCCGCTGCACTTGTTAGACACCAGAATTGAGGACAACTCGAAATGCAAGGCCAGTATCATAAGATCAGAGAGAAGATGAGAGAATAGTGTATCAGTATCAGCAAAAGTCCAAAGCAACGAACATGTATCACAACAGTATCTTTATGAACATGTAACATGCGAAGACATAGAGAGAAGATGCTTTATTGAAGGGGCCCTTACCTTTCTTTTTTCCTTTGGCCTTAGGAAAAAGACTCCGGGAAGAACCCAGTGAGAAAAAGGTAGTTGACATTTATACAATACTTTGGCTATGTCTTGCAAAAACACTGCACTGTTTATTCACATTCAATAACAACCTCTCTGTAAGCATGTTGCAATGCGTCCTGCAATCTCTGTTGTGGGGCTGGCGCGTGCCTTGGCAGTCTTGGAGTGTTTTGAGAGCTGCTTATGGAATGGATGCAAGTGTGTCGTGTGTGGTGCTGTGTCCTGTGCATGTTAAAAAGACGGTGCTAGGGCCCCAACCCATAGTGCAGTGCTTCTTGCCAGTTGTGGTCCTTGCCACTTTGCTCATTACTCTGAGGAGAATGGTCATCCACTGTTCACATTTGATATGTTTCATTTGCTTTCATCAACGCACAGTTGAACCATGTTGTTTGGAGCAAGGACATTACATTCTTCACCATTTCATTCGGACCGCAGCGCCAAAGCCTGAGATACATGCTTGCAAGGTTGAGGGGCTGCAGCCATGATTCTCCAGAATGCTGTGCCAAGCTGCTACTAATAAGCATGCGTTTCTCCCCAATTTGGTGTAAGGCACCTGCCTCTACACATGCCGCTCTCTCAGAGTCTCAGGTTCAAAGCACAATCCTGGACACCATGTCATCCCATATCCAGCATGTCAAGCCTTGTCAAGCATTGCTTGTATTTGACAATTGTTTTTGTTTCCAGCACCATAATAGGTCTAAAAGGCCACTGGTCTTCAGTCTTGTGTGGAAGCTTCCTTGAACCCGAGCTGAACTTTGCTGCACTGCTTACTAGGCTTACCACTCCCAACAGCTACTTCTGCCACAAAAAAAGAGAAAAAACGTAAGTTAAGTTTCTCTACAAATCTATATAGGAACCAAATTGGAACCGAATGAATACTGCGAGCGCACCTCTTCAAGGAAGCTCCCCCCTTCAAGGAAGCGTGAGCTATCCTGCGTCCTAGGTAGTAGCTTACTTAAGCTACTAGCTACCCCTTCTACCGGCCTAACCCCCCGTTTAAAAGCAAGAAGTAGTTTCGTGATCAAGTCTTGACACCCAGATCGTCCTGTGCAGCGATACTTCTGAGCTTCGTCGGGCTCTTAGTACCAAGAAGAAGGCTTTGAGAAGCAACAAGAAGACATAAGAAGACTCTTCATTGCAAAATGTGTGGTAACAGAATCGTGGAGACTATAGTTGAGTTCTTTACGAACATGAGGTTGCAATGAATCGGTGGAAGTCTGTTTGTTTTGTCCGGAGCAAGTTCTCCTGTGTGATCGAACTTGTATATTGAAAATCTGAATGTTCCTCTATAAAATGCTAGTCACTTGACTCTATCAAATGTGTTTTTTGGATCCTGATTTTATAGAGAGGATATTGTAGTTTTGCAGCTTTAATTTCAAGAGCCTTTGACAACATGTTATTATATATCGAGGTGGTTTTTAGTTTGTTCTGGTGGCCTTTCTTGGCATGCCTTGTGAACCCGTTACAAGCATTTTATAGAGGAGTAGGGTGCCGCAACATAGATTTTTCTAGGGTACTAGAGATTTGGTTTGGTGAGAGCATGTGGATCTGGAGAAGGGGTTCAAAGAGAATTTAGGTGTTGACATGTGTGGCGCCAGCCTTCGGTCTTTGTCCACCATGAAAATCAAGTACAAACATGATAAAGAAAAAATATTAGAACTCGAACTTCCTTAGCCTTCTAATATCTCCTTGAGATTTGAAAAAGTCATCCTGGAAATGCTGGAAGAGGCCTTCAAAGAAGAACAGCAAAGGAAAAGGATAAAAAGCCACATAGCCATATAAATGACCTTTAGATTGGATTCTTTCCACTGTCCTTTTGTGTATTCCCCTTGCTCTTCTTCCATGACCCACCGGTAGGAGACAAGGGAGGGCACGGCTAGGTCCCCGGTCCCCCGTATCGAAGCGGCACCGTCCTTGTCTCCCCCCGTTTGGGAGAAAGGAGAGGGACGTCCTCCAGAAGTTTTTAAAGCCGAGGTAGGGTAGCTAGTGGAGAGTAGGTAGCTAGTAGCTACTAGTAAGTATTAATGGACGCAGGATAGCTCTCGCACTACTGATTTGATTCCTAGATCTTTAGGGAAACTTAACTTCTGTATCATTGGGCGCTTCTAGTTCTTTTCTATTCAGTGTTCTTTCTTGCAAGTTCACAAAAATTGGAAAAGCTTTGAACATTGGTGGTGCTATCTACTTCCTTTCTGTTATATTTTCTTCAGAAGACTCAGGAATTTGAGAGAAATGTCGGGAAACACAACGGCTTTCATTCCTGTCTTCTGGAAGCTTCATGTGTCCACTGGTCCGCCGGTCCACCAGCTTCGTCTAACTACCCCTCCGCAACTAGACAGGGCGCTATGGACAAAACAAAGACGAACATATTCATATGTCACTTGTGGTTATATATGTTCATGTTCTCCCACAAATTGGTCTCATTCACTTGGTTGTTCTTTTCATGAAGATATCTTATCTATATTATATGCTATTGTATGTTTTTTTTAATCATTTTATAGAGGCTGGATTTGTCCATCCCTCATATAGAAACACCCTCAACCAGTGGTGGTATAGAGACTTTACCTCATAGACCATTTTACTATGAATGCGGCCAGTGATCCCAACCATCATTCACGAGGGATATACTGTATAGTTCGATTCAATTACGAGGTGTCCTTAGCATACACGTTTTGAACGTGCATGTACAAATATGCATGTGTTTTTTGCAACTAGGTTCGCAGCCGTGCACCGCCAAGGACCCTTGTACATTGTGATCAAGTCAACCTTAACTTATGTCTTGAGCTGATTTGTGTCTCACTTCTTGGCGGCGTTTCGATAAAGGCACTTGTTCCTAGTAGCTTCTTGTTACTACTAGTAAGGCACTTGTTACTACTAGCGTGGCACTTGTTCCTAATAGCTTCTTGTTACTACTAGTTTGCATGTTTTACTTGCAACTTCTCTTTGTTTCTTGAGGCAGCACATCCTGCAGCTCTTCAATTTCATGTTGTTACTTCTCCACAACTTGAGACGACCCTTGGCTTGTCAATCAACACCTTGCAGATTCAGTGCAGAACATGCGGCACGAAAGCGTGTACTGTACACTGTATACTTACTCTATGTTCTTGTGGGTGTGCACACAATTTTTGTTCGTTTTTGGCCTAATTGAAGAAAGGCCATTCCAGCCGCTGCCATGATGTCCTTGTAAAGCCATGAGGAGCCAAACATGATAACAATTTCATGCACATGAATCTGGAGATGCACGGGCCTTTCAGGTTGATTTGGCCACATACTCGTTAGCATCAAACTGCTAACAGCTAACAAATGGATAATGGTCCACAGTCAGGAAACAGGGACAAGACAGGGACACGTACACAAACAGAGTTCATGCAACAAGCCCCCCAAAACATCCCGCCCGGTTGAAAAGTGAATTTGTAGATGTTGTGTTTTGAACATGAATCATTGTTTGCAGATGGCGGAAGACCGGAGTATTTGTTGCACGTTTTTGGTGTGTTGACACGCGTTTCACGTTGAAATTTCAACAGGCCCTTTTTTGCTAGGGTCCTATGCTCTTTTTTTGCCTATTGTTTAGAGGGCAAAACGAGGGTGTTCTTTGGGACTAAATGTGGCTTCGTGCCCAACATGGGTACTGTGTTTCATATGTCGCTATTCTTAGGCCCCCATTGTCAGGTAGTCTCGATGAAAACAAGTCGCTGCTCGTACGCAGTCATGCATGAATTTGCAACGTTGAATGACTACAGTCCGGGTCAGAGCGGATCCCTAAGGTAAAGCCACGCATCCCCACTAAGAGCCAATTCCCAAGTTCGAATCCAAGTGTTCAAAAACCACGGTCCACCAAGGAAAAATGGAAGGACGCTCATAGGGAAAACTCAGGCACACTAGCCTCAAGAGCTCAATCAGGCTAACGCACAACGCACCGGCATCCAAGGCACCTGCCCCACTCACCCGCAGATTGAACAGCTGCAAGAAAAAGATCTAAAGGTGCTTTTTCAACCCGCAATGAAAAAGTGCACACCATCGAATCACTGACTAGCAAGCATAATTACTGACTGACCAGTTTACTAAGGATCTACAATGAGCAGTGAGCTTAAAGCCAGTTGTGAGTTTGGATGCGTTGCGCCAAGTATGTAGCCTCAGGGTCCTCCGCAAGTTGCTTCCGGAGGTTCAGTTGGAGGCCACCTTCCTTTCGCATTGGCAGTGCTGACAAAAGGACTTGACTTCTTTAGAGACCTCATTACATACAAAACCCATCCGTTCCTATCACTGCCATGCTCGTTTTTTCAATCATGTGCAGGTCCACACGAATCCAAGTTATTTGCGCAAAATCAGCGGCTTTCCTGCAAACAAATATATCAAGCAGCATGAAGCAACTAAGCACGTTTGATGCTATGGATCGTGTAACTTCACCAAACTGAGCTGATTTGGCCTTGAAGGGCACTCACTGGCCAAGCTTAGACAGCCTATCGATTGCGCATCCCAGGAAAGCATGTAACTTATCGTACCTCCTCGCAGGCCCTCATCTCAAGTTCAGAGGATGTTCAAGTTGCTTTGCATTCGATCTTGGACCTGCTTTTTGGCAGTACTGTATGTAGTCTGACATGCAAATCAACCCCGGGCCCCGGGCTT